TCAGTCCTAAAACGTTGATAATGAGGCTTGAATCAGGCAGATGGAATACGAAGAACAGCTGTGTTTTAGGTCCATAGTTGGAACGCTGATATTTCCAAAATCACTAAAATACCTTTTTTTCCCCCTTTTCGTTGAATATTGTACAGCATGTTCCAGAACCTTTAGTTTATGAAAAAGTAAAGAATATAAAATTAACTATTAGAGCAATACTGTGAATCATAAAATCTATTATTTCATCATTGACATGCATCATTTGGTCCTCCCATATTATCTAATGATTTCCACGTATGATAAGTAGACAGAGATACCTCTTTGCCTGAGAGGGAGAAGTTAGACCTCAGCCATAATTTCTGGCAGATACTTGCTTTTGCGTTCTGGGTTACACTGGCAACATTGCTTGAGCGCTAAAACTTAGAATGGTCGTACCAAACTTTGAAAGCCGAGCATTTAGTTTCTAGTAAAATGTCTTCCATCACAGGTTCATCTACTGCTGACATGACATCTGGCTTTTGTAGATAGGAATACAGTTAATAAAATAAGCAACATGAAAATACGATTTTTTAATACATATTAATACAATATAAAAATGTGTGGTTCTAGAATATCGCACAGCTCTTCAGCTTTTTTGCAAGAGACTTTTGCGTGTTTGATTGCAAAAAAGTGTAATGTGGTGTCAGAATACAGACTTTTTATGATTCTTGACTTGCCATCAGTAGAAGTGCTTGCTTCTGGAAAGAAGTGAATTGTTTGAAGTCCTTGATTTTGGTCATACAGGGAAAAGTTAAGAGGAAGAAGATTGTACAACTGGTTCTTGAAATTATCTTTCTGACAATACATGTTTTATTGACCTAAAAAGCAGACAGGCTACTGGTTTTAAACCAGCTTTTTGGTCTTCTCCATGTCTATCTTATAATCTTCAAAGGAACATGCAAATTAAGTTGTGGGTTGTTTTGTGCTCTGAGGAATGATAAAAAAAAAAGCTCTCCTGTCTCCTCTTGAGTATCTGAGATTTGCAGTAAAAAGAGACAAACAACACAGACACCTCTGGCATAGAAAGAGAGTCTGTATTTCTTTGGGATTATATTTGATTCTAATTGAGTTTGAAATTGTGAATCTTCAAAGGAACATGCAAATTAAGTTGTGGGTTGTTTTGTGCTCTGAGGAATGATAAAAAAAAAAGCTCTCCTGTCTCCTCTTGAGTATCTGAGATTTGCAGTAAAAAGAGACAAACAACACAGACACCTCTGGCATAGAAAGAGAGTCTGTATTTCTTTGGGATTATATTTGATTCTAATTGAGTTTGAAATTGTGTTTGTGTTTGATAGGTAGCAAGCAAACTCGGTTGCAGGCTTTAAAACTTTCCAAGACTAATCTGTAGAGTCTTGTTATGAAATACTGCTAGTGTTGCGCACATCAGGGGTCAGGTATGTTGTGCTCTTTGCAGAGAGTGCTGGCCTGTTGTGTGAGCTTCAGCTAAAGGGCGTGAATTCCTTCCTAAATTTGGCTTCTCTTGGAAGTGGATGCAAGGGAAGATGTGAACTCCAGGCCTCTTCGTCATCCACCTTATTCATAGAGAGTGTACTTAAATTTCCTTCTGTTCATGCATATCCTCTAACGTGATACATGTCCTCTGTCCTTCCAGTTTAAGTTGTATCTTAATGGAAGCTCGACATACACCTTTCTCTTAGAATTTCTGAAGCTTGCTGTGTATCTTTTTTATTAAAGTGTTAAAAATCAGAAGTTCGACTCATATTACAAAGATGTGCTATTATTTTTATGCAAACCTGTAACTGTGAGATGCAGGCATTGAAATTTTGTGTTTCTATACCATCAAATAAGTTATCTCTCAGGTGTTTGCTAACCACTGACTTCAGTAACAACCTTGAAAGAACAAAATAGGAATTCATGAAGGATGAAAGTGTTATGTAGAACAACAGTTATCAGATTCTAGTGAGCCTTCGTGCTTTTTTCTTAGGCAAGGCACAGTCCACCCTCAGGGAATATAGTTGAATTATTCCTTGCCTGCTGAATGCAAGTGCAACCTGGTCCAACAAGGTGAAGGGTGAAACAAAAACAAATTCCGATTTTAATACAGGAAACTCCCCACTCCCATGTCCTGAATCTCTTGCTCATAACTTAGGTTTATTAAAAAAAAAAAGGTGAAGAGTAGCCATAGGTCTCTTATACCCAGCCCTCTACTGTACAAATAGAGTTTTTTGTTCATGTTACGTGAGATGCTTAAAAACGTCTCATGCATATTCATCAAGTGCTTACCTGAGACTGTCTATAAATGTCCAGTAACAGTTTTGTATTTTAAAGTAATTTAATTCAAGACTGAGGAAAATACAGATTTAATTGATGTGTCATGTTTTATATGCAGATGAAAATATAATTTACAATTGCCTGTTCTGTGCTAAAAGGTTCTTGTCTGAAGCTGTATGGGGAAAAGATAACTTGAGGACAAATGTAAATGCATGCCAAAAGGGAATAGCCTAGCTACTTTGTCAGGCCTTAATTTATTGGCTCGATACCAAGCTCTTTCAAAATACCATGACCTTCTCATATGGAGCTTGATGTGTCGGTCAGTTAATTATTTTGGTCTCCAAAATTCTTAAGAAAACATCCCCCACACCATTTTTGTTGTAAAACAATTCACTGTGTGCAATAAACTTAGATAAATTGGTGTCTGAAGAAAAAGAGATGATGATGTTTGCATTTTGACTTGTCTTCGATATGCCCTCAGCTGTCACACAGTTGAATTCTGTTAATCTTGAAGATATGCTCGATATTCTGCATGTTGGATAATCCGTCACACATCAAACTTTCTTTGGATTGCATGTCTTGCAGCAGGATTGTGCTTCGTAACACGTTTTTTAGTCACTCATGTATATGACTGAGACGAGAACCATTCTGAGGCGATGCAATGGAGCCAGTTTCATTATATTGCCATGTCAGCAGTGGTGCTTAATTAGAGGATTCCTGTCCACTGCTTTGTGTTCCTATTTTTGGGGAAATCATCTATTTTAGTAATGAGTTGGTTCAATCATCTGGTTTACAGAGCAGTCTTGCAAACATCTGTCATCACAGCTCTGGGGTGGAAGAGGGAGAGGTGATGTGGGGAATTGGGATTGTGGAAGAGGTACGGGAGATACTTAAGCAGGCATTGATACTGATGCAAGCTCCTTTATGCTGAAGTAGTGTCCTGACTGAATTTATTGGGTTGCATACAGCTGAATTCCTATGAAACAGGCATGAGACATGTGAATGATCTCCTTTATCATAATGGAGTGGTACACCTTAGCAGGTGTTCTGTGTAAGTCTTGCTGTTAATTGTATAATTCCTGTGTGTCCCTGGCAGATTAGGGGTCCATTTTTGTATTCTTTCACATAAAGCTGTGCCAGCTGAATCAAGATAACTGCCCTTAAGTTCATAGTGGAAAAGTTAACAAGTCATAGATAAGGCTGTTAGTTGAAGTTTGAATTCACTAGCAGAGGTGTTGTACTACAGGTCTCGGGGGCATTGCCATTTCCTTTTCTGCAGAGAACACTTGTGGGGTAATCTTTTAATAACTAGAACCTAGAAAGGGGAATTAACATTTCTACAAATGAATTACAAACCACAACTCTTATTGCAAATCAAAAATCTAATGAAACAGCTGTGTAGTTTTGTAACTTCACTTTCTCAGAATGAGCAGAGTTTTATGTATGTTTGAAGATCTACATATAGTAATAATAATTGTGTGTACAAGTAGGCTGTACAGTAGAGTTTGAACAGAAGAGATGGATTTTAAACTATTAAGTAAGCTGCTTGTAGGTTTTGTGAGCAAAAATGCTGAGGAACAAACTCAGTCATCACACTGGACTGGGTGAGAGTACTTTAGTGAACTAGAAGTCTTTTGTGAGCTACTTTCCTGTGTTCCAGGATGCAAACATAGCTTCACTTTGCAATCTGAAAACTTAGGGTTCATTTCTAACACTGCTGTCATTATAATAAATAAACAACAAGAATTTCTTCCTGCAACTATACTGGCATCTTGAAACAAGGTCTGAGGGGCATGAACTTACGTAATACATTTCCCTTCTATTCATCACTTGTGATACTTTCTAATCCTGCCTCATGTTCTTAGTTCGAGATTGGCATTACCCAGTGTAACTGGACAATGAGGGCTTGGAATTCACTTTATGCTAAAAGGTTGACTTTTAATTTAAAGTTGACCTGTATATAAAAACCAGAGATTCATGATTTCAGATGGAAAAGTAATCAGTTAGAATACTGATACAGACATGTGGCAGTTGTCTTGGTGCACAAGTAATAAAGATGTACTGAGTTATTTTGTTTTTAGTTATTTTTATTAATATTTAAATTCTATAATTTAAAATTTGTGATTTTTATTTGCAAATATATTGTTAATAAAATTAAAACTCAAAGTCAAACATTCAGATTGATTCAGTTTCTTTTTGTCTGAGTGTATTTTTATTTAAGTGAAAAATATCAATCATTAGTTTTAGGATAAAAATTAATCTGAAAATTTAATTATCACAAAAAAAGAAAAGAAAGTATGTATATTTTCCAAACTAATTATGATAATGATCAGGGACAGTTATTTGAAAGGTATCTGCTATTAGAAATTGTAAGAAAATGCATGTGCGGTGTTTTCAAAGTGTAGCTGCAAATGGAAAGCTACAGCATGGGTGTAGTTCTTATAAATTTATGTAATTACCTGACAGTTTCTGAAAATACGTAATTGTCTTTTTATTAGAAGATATTGGTCATTATGTGAGCACATCTATTCTGCAGGGATAATCTGATTGTTGGTGGTACTCAGCTAGTATAGTAACGCTATTAGTTTAATCAAGCTCTTTTGCTTCAGAGCAGTTAAACGCAGACAGTTGTGCACCATTTTAAGTGATATTCAGTTAAGCTACTAGTTTGTTAATCACTGATAATTAGCATCTAAATGGATTCCATTTTGTTTGTGTTGTTCTTTTTTTTTTTTTTTTTCACTCCAGTATGCCAGTGTTGAGAAAGATGGAGAGCATTACATGACCCCAGAAGATTTTGTGCAAAAATACCTAGGACTTTATGCAGACCCACGTTACAATCCTAAAACAGTGCAGCTGGTGGCTGGAGTGGCAGATCAAACGAAGGATGGGTGAGAATTTTGCTTTCCTTTAGAAGCTTGTAATGCATTGGTAAACGCATTTGATAATTTCATCTTCTAAAATACTTTACTGATTTCATTACACTTTAAGCTTATTTAGGTGGAACATTTTTTCTTAAATAAAATAGGCTATAGATTTTTGGAAATTCAGAAAAATACAGTGTTTAACGTGCATTTTAAAAGTTAAGATTTATTTTAATGGAGTTTTAACAATTACTTCAAAAGCAGAAGTTGAACTGCAAATAAGTTTAATGTAGTATGATTGCCTTGGATAAGTTATTTTCTGTGCACTCACATCCGTGATTAGATACTATGTAGAGTCTTTAGGACCTGTAACTAAACATGGAAATACAGAAAAGCTTTCTTATTTCTATAGTGTGCAATTCAAATCAAACCACTGAGGTCCTTTTTAAAGTGCTGGCTGTTAGGAAAGAGAGACACTAATGACTCTATGGAGGAAGGAGGTGTTTGCCTAATCAAGATAAGGTCACACCACATAAATCTTCTCCAACTCTGCTTACAGATGATATCACTTGCTTTTAGCCAGTTCTCTAAAACTAATTTACAGAATGTCTACTCCACTGAGGTAGTACCCTCTAACTCACTTGTCTTCAAAGGAGCTGTATGTAGGCTTCTGCTTTTAGCCTGAATTGTAATAGGCAGCATGGACACTGTTAAAGTGAGAAGGTTAAGATGGATCAGAGAACAGGTCAAGAAGGCAGAAGGGAGTGGGTATTCTGTAGAGAAGAGAAAGTTGCTGTTAAAATAGTATACAGTATGTTTGGAAATATGTAGATGTAACTTAGTTTAAATGGAAAGCCCCTTAACTTCCTGGGATTTGTGAGTCTAAATCTGACCTTTGACATCACTTAAATATTTTTGTTTTCCTGTGTTCTGTTTTAGAATATTTTATTAGTCTGTATGGTATCCTGAACAGGTTGCACAGTATCTGTGCTTTACAAATGAAATTGTATGTGCTATAAACATTTTATGCTAAATGACAAATGTAGATTCTCCTGTTTGATGTTATGTTATGTGATTTTTTTTTTTTAAATGAAACTGCGGCATTTTGGTAATACATTTGATAAATCCAAATAATCTGTCTTTCAGTTTGCAGTACTTGGCTGCAGTTTGTAGCATTGTTGTGGATTGAAAAAGCTATTTTATATGTATCTGTTGAAATGATAGTCTGATAGCTAGTAAACCAAAATGTTGAGTATCTTGTTTCTCTGCAAGATGTTGGTTATCTTTTACAGTGTGCATTTCTTTAGAAAATGTCTTGTAAAAGGATCTTGCTTACAGTAAGAAATCAATAACTTGTTTTATTGCTACAACAGAACTTGACATTGAGGCATCAATTTTTTGTTGCTTTCCCTGTGAATGTAAGTTTTTGTTGCTTTTTAAAAATATTTTTTTAAAAATCCGGGTAATATTTGAAGTGAGATAATCAAATATGGGTAAGTATGCTTTCTTTACTTATATATGGGAACAGTGGGAGTGGAAATTATTACCATATGGTCTGCACTGCAAAACGTTTGTCTGTCTAAATACTAGTCTGAGAGTTATTTTCCTAAATGTTTTAACCTATATTTATTTCTAACCTGTATTTCATGTGAAGAATTTGTTATACCCCCATCATCGTCATTTGTTTATTTATTTATTTTAAAATTTGCATTCTTCCATTTGTAGTGATCTGTAGTGTGTCAAAATCCAAACTATTACCTGTATCATCTGCACAGAGAATTTAATCTGTAGCATGAATAATTATGGTAATCTTCAGCCGAATTCCAGAACACGTTACGTTTTTCCAAGGATTTAAGGTTACGTTATGAAGTCCAAGGACATATCAGTAGTCCTGTTCCATACATACACTTGTAAATTCAATGACAGCCCAACATCACACAGCAAGTCATTGAGAAGCTTTGGGTTCTGTTACAAAGTTTCATTCCTGTATCTGCTATCATATTCTCTTAGCCTTGCTTGCCCTTCAGATAAATACTCCAAAGTGTTCTTGGTAACTTTTCTTTGTTAATATTTCTACATTTCATTTAGGTTAAAGTTTAGCATGTCTGTCTGTACCATATGTTTAAAATTTTTAAATTTTTTTTTTCTGATGGCAACTTGATCCTTAGTTAACTGTTCGGAGTACGATCGCCTTCTCCAGTTACTACAGCACAAGGCTGGTTTGCTTTAGTGGGACTGTAAGGCAGTTCTTAAAACAGGTGACTTCACTTTCAAAGTATTTTTTCCTCATTGTTACAAATGCATGTTCTGAGAAATTAATGTGATGAGATCGAAATCAGAATTTGGCCTAAACTGCCTTGTCAGCTACTTGTTTAATACAATGGGATTTCTCTGGTGCTGTAAGCATTCGTGTATCTTCAGGCTGCAGGCACTACTTTGAAATTAGGATAAATATTCTTTCTGAATAATATGCTTATATATATCTGCCAAAACCAGCTTCCCAATTACATAAGTCAGTTAACATTAGTAGGTGTTGCAGGTTTAAAGTCAAAGAATTTCTTCTTCCTTCAAAGCTTCACAATTTCACAGTAGTCATTCAAAATTTTTCATTTTAACTGGTTGTTTCTGGGTACTCTTTTTATCAGTGTATCTTTCCTAAAATTTGGAGATGTATTCTTAAGCTAAGCCCTGAAGAAAAGGTTGGTGTTTCATATAACAGAGCGTCACAACAGAGCTGTATGTAATGTCTAAAACCTATGTTGTGTGGGGAAGAAGAGCAAAGAGTTGTAGTAGGCAGAAAGGAAAGATAGAGAATTGTAAACATGGCTTACTTAGTGTGTTTTTGAAGGGTGACGGTACAGAAGAAATATGAGGAAAGGAATGTTTTGAAGTGTTACAGATAAAGTGAAAGGTGAGTGATTTGGTATTGTTACGGACTAATGCAGCGAGCGGGTTCACTGAATGATACTTGAGTAGCAATTGGTTGGGAAGCCCCATCATTCTGTTTAATCCAGCTCCTGTTATCTCCGCCCTAAGATAATGGAGGATCACAGGGGATATCCTTCCTTTTAGGCATTGCAAGTTGAATATATGGAAAGGAAATTGAATGTGTCTATCTCCTTTTGCTGTAGGCACTGTTAAAGTGAGACCTCTGAAGATGGCTTCTTTCAGGTTCAGGCTTCTACAAGTTTATTCTGCAGAGATCGTCACTTGATTCTGTCAGTTATAAAGCTTCCTGGTTAGAAATTAATATGTATGTCAGGTTTACACTTGTGTGTGAGGTATATTTTGAAATGTTAGTATTTACAATTATTTTAAAGGATATTCTGTTTCTCTGATACTGAACCCTTATTTATCAAAATCATCCTTTGGATGAAATTGACTTTGCACCTCAAAAACCATTCGCTCTGATTTTTATGGCTGAAGTGCAACAAATCAATATCATAATTCTATATTTGACATACCTTAATTTCTTTCAAAGTCACTACGTTTTTTTCTGTATGTTCTGTATAATGCATATATCCAAGAATGCTAACATATTTAACCTTGTTTAAAGTATCTCAATGCTGCTTTATGTGTACTTTGACAGAGGAAGACTAGATAAACTAATGAAGAGTGTGGCTTGATTTTTTTTTTTTCCCCCCCTCTTTTTTATTTTTCTGTAGGGAACAGAATTCATACTTGTCTCTTTAGGAGTAAGCAGTATATCACTATAAGAAGTAAGAAGTAATCACTGGGCTCATGATCTATGAGGAGTACTAAATTCAGATCAATTATGTACATTTTCTAGGAAAATGTACCATCTACAGTCATATTCTATGTTTTAACAGCATCTACTGAAATAGTAATTTTTTTGTTAATTTAAAAAATGTAATCACGGTTCCTGTTGGTAATTTATGTGATGCTAAAATAGATATCCCATCATTTATTTCTAGAAACTGATCTCAGGAACTTGTAACTGGATGGAATATTCTAAGTCGTGAAGCTAAGTCCCCTATTTTTACAAAGATGAAAACACACAGTAGTTTTAATAAACCAAGTTTGCTGTTAAAACCGAAAGCTTTTGCTGGCAGTATTCTGGAAAGGCCACAGTATATGCTTTCTCTAAATATCTTCATGGATATGTGATTTTGTTCTTGTGCCAACATTATCCTTTATCTTCTCCCTGGCTTAGGGTTTATCTTTCTGCAGCTGTTCTTACATACAGCCTTAGGATCCCTTCTAAATGTTTTGGTGTTGTTTCCCCCCCCCCCCCCCAGTTACTCAGAATATGCTGAGTTCCTCTAGAAAACTTATTTATGATTACTCTAAATAAATTGCATATATGCAAGTCTGAGTTTATATGTGTTGAACACAAGGACTTGGATTTCTATGAGGCATTCCAGAGATGATTGGGGAAACCCTATCTGGGGATACTGCTGCTTCCTTATTGCACACAGAATCAGCTTTCCTAAGGCATCCTGAGTTGCATTTTTCTGTATGGTGACTGTCTTGCACACACAGTTCAGAGTGCTGTGATCTGCTGTTACACTCAAATCCTTCCCTGTCTTGGTCATGTCTTTATGCCTAAATGTTCTTATAGTTTGTTTCTTTCTAGTCCTCAAGTACATGGCTTTGTTGTTCATGTTGTATTTGAAGTGTAATATTTTTTCTGTATGCACAGTAAAGAATAACTTTTTCTGAACCTCTTGTTTATGAATGTTATACATTGTTTTAAGAAAATACATATATTGTATAGCATATTTTCACACTTGAGTTAAACTAGCTTTTCTTTCTCAATAGAAATGCATGTATGAATTAGTAATGTAATGATAGTCCTGTAAAGTTCATGGTGGTAGAATTTCTGTGGGCTTTTATATCTTAACTATTAAGTGCTGTCTCCTTACATTTATAGTTACAAGGTAATGAATTGTAGGTATCACTGAGAATTGATTACATTTTGTTGTTGACGAATATGAAGAATTCAGTCCTTTTTCTAGTGGAATAAACTGAGTTGCATGAACAAATACTTTTAAAGTTTCTAGTGTAGCGTCTTAACTTTTTTATATTAGAATTTTATTTTAATAATTGGATCATACAGTTTTCTAGAATATCAAATATAAAATATAATTGGTATTGTGAATAATTTTTTGAAATCTTTGTAACTTCTGTATTTTCCTTTGTAGGTTGATTTCCTATCAAGAATTTTTGGCATTTGAATCTGTTTTGTGTACTCCAGATGCAATATTCATTGTTGCTTTTCAGTTATTTGACAAGAGTGGCAATGGAGAAGTAACATTTGGTAAGAATATCTAAGAAAAAAACCAGTTTAAGAACATGATTACAATAGTGTAAATCTTAATACTGGTTCGTCCCCATTGGTGCATAGAAAAGCATATTGTGCAGTACTGTCCTGATTTCCTAAGACTTTGCATGAGTAAAGACTTTTTTTTTTCTTTGAAGTGATACAAGCTTAAGAAATGCACATAAACAAGATACATTTTGCTCTATCTTCTTGAATCAAGATTTTTCCTGTTCCTGAAGTAGTTAATACAATGCACAGTGTCATCCTAAATAAAATTCTATGTAATGGACTTTGAAATCCTTCAGTGATGAGGGATTTTTAGACTATATTCTGTATCTCCACAAATCTTTGAAGAATTGTGATTAGATACAGTAACAGCTCAATATAGAAACGAAGGAGGTCTGATCTTTTCAATTTCTAGTTTAGTGTTCCTTTTATTGAGGAGCACGTCTAATGTTATAACATCCAACTAGATCATATATTTGAAAAATTAGGAAGAAAGTATGTCCTTTAGGTTTTGTTACTTTTTTTTCCTTAATCACATAAGCTAGTAATTGGACAAAATTATTTAGGAATACTATACTGCTTTATGATGTTGCTAAATAACTGTTATTAAGATTGCAGTTTAAGGAGGACTAGGGTTTCTTTTTAAAACTTCATATGTTTATGGAAAATTAGATAAATCAATGCTAAGTATTTTCATAAAATGGAATGAGAATTAAATGTTATTTCTATTCAAAAGAATAAAGCTCTCAATAAAGAAAATACAAACTATGCTTGGATTTGTAACCACTTGCTGTTTGTACTATTTCATTCTTACAAAAATTGTTGCAACTTGTTGAAAAAAAATGCAAGGGTCTTTTTATGGAAACAAACTGCATGAATTATGGTATCTGTTAAATTGCACCGTTAAGGGTCAAATACTGAGGAATCTGGATACACAACATCTTGAAATGACAATCTTTTGTAACTTAAGTGAAGGTGAAGTAATTAATGCAGTCATTTTTTTTTAGGAAGTAGGCAAACTACTACAAGCAGTGTGACCATGTTAATGATGGTAATAATCTCACAAAACGGGAATATGCGCTTTGAAGCTGTCATGAACACACTTGAAATAGCTGGTTCCCTAAATGAACAAAAACTAATTTCAGACTGTATACAGATTGCTCAATCAGATTGAGGATTGTTATTTTTATGAGCACATAATTATATTAAGGGCTAAAAGAACAACACAGACAGGAGACACTGTAAACCAGAAATTTGCACAATTTTTTCCATATCTTTCTGACTGAATTTTTTCATAAGGCTGATAAATCTTGAGTAGGAAACTCTTTAGGGAATTTAAAATTTATTCTTGGGTTCTTCTTTTTACAAAACTTATTATATTGCAGTTATTACTGTATTTAATAGGAAGTTGTAACATATTAGTGGTGCATATTTGTGTGCTACAGCTCCCACATTTACTTCTGCTTTTTTGCTTTGTTGTTGTTGTTTGTAACATCGCCTGCTTATTTTTACTTCATAAGGGTATCATACAAATTAATGCATGTGGGAAAAATGTGAATGAAGATATGTGCCATGTTTGGAATTTGGTAACACTGCAGTCAATTTCCAGGTCACTCTTGTGGCTGTTTGCTAAATGAGTCCTGCAGTCTTTCATTTTCACCCCACATAAACAGAAAGGCACAGAGTTTACTTTCCTGTCAAAACAGGAGAATATATAAAATGAGGTCTTAAGAAATTTATAAATTATTAGAAATATACTGAAATGGACTAAGTTTGGCCAGTTGGTGTGAGAATTGCTATTAGACAAGTCAGCTCTTTTTTTGTGAGTGTGTCATGTATCCATCTGCCGATAAACCATGTTGGTGATGGGAGCAAACATCAGTCAAGATTCTCTAGCTCAGATGCAATGCGATGTGGGTGTGATTGCATCGATTCCAAAGCTAACTCGAGCCAGTAAGCCTTGCGAGAACTGACATGGACTTGCTGGGGTTTTTCTGCACTGTGCATCTGGAAGAAGGGGTGCTGTAGCGTGGAACACAGAATCAACGTGGGTCTCTTAGGCTGGTAACTTGAACCCAACGCTGGCCTTGCTGCATGTGAGATGGTAATGTCTCAAAATCATTTAGGTATGACTGTATGGAATTAAAAAAAAAAAATATCCTGATGTAATGAAATTTTCAGTTATTAGGAGAGAGCTAAGTATACTTGCTGATTTTTAGAGCTGGCTCTGTGTTTGAAAGGCAGTTGTTTCAGTTGGGTTCACATCCCCTTTTTAGGATTTATTTACTGTCATGAACTTGGACCATAACTTGAGCGCTTTAGCTTCTCACAGTCCTCTTGAGCCTCAATCTGCCATGTCTCTTCAAAAGTTTAGTTTCCAAATCTCCAATGAGGAAACTATTAATTAAATTGTATTAGAGAAGAACCTCTGTCTTATGAGTTGAGAAATGGAAGAGGACAAAGAGTTTGCGATTCTTTTTAGAAACTACCTGGTAGAAATCCTTGTGGGTTAAGCTATGCTAATCCGTGTCTTTGTCCGTGCCACATCATGTGTTAATTGTCATCGTTGAAACAGGAATCCCTCTGTCACTTTAATGTCATCTACTTTCTTACTGCGTTGTAACTTTTTTCCATGAGTTTTGGACATGCAAAGATCCTGTATGTGTGACATCCATAAATGTGAATAGCATGCTGCAGTATTTGCAGTTGGTCCATTGCAGGAACATGAAATTGAACCTTCTACGTATGAGCAAACTGCAAGGCATGCTCCATACACTTCACGTGTTTCAGGTGCACTGGACTTGCTGCCAGCTTGGTGATTAAGAGGCAGTAAAACGACTGTTTTAATAACCCATTGACACAAGTGACAGTGTAGTTTAAATGACTCTCTGAATTCAGGCTGAAGCAAACCTGAATCTTACATCTGCTCAAGCTATTTGGTTTGCTTTGATGTTGAAGCAGATAATCCTCACCATGGTTGAAAGGTGAAGTCTGTGACTGTCACTGAAACATCTCTCAAAAATAAGTTGTCTGTCTGGAAGCAAAAGGATTCTTTGTAATTTATCCCTTTGGCAAACCATACAGTGATCTGGACTGTATCACTTTTAATTGGAATCTACAGGTTCAAGGCTTTTTTCAGCTGTTCTGCCTTGCAAGAGCCACCGCAAAGAAAGCTATTTTCTGATAAACTGGAGAATTTTAGAGACACTTTTTTTTAGTTAAATATGCTTGCTGGTATTGGTAGAAAGATAGAGCTAAAATAATGAGATTTTGAAACAATTTCACTGCCTTCATGTTTGTGATTCGTCTGTATTCGGAATTGTTACGTTATTTTGGAGATAATTGGAAAATGTTTATGGAACTGAAGATAAGGCTTTTAAAAACATCCTGCAGCTCAAAATCTAATTAAAAATGTTTGGCAAAGTATACTGGCCTCTTCTTTAAAGGCACTGGGGGGTGTAAGGGGATTGGATACCTGCTAATGCAACTGTGTGAAAATTACCGTGATACTGGTGAACTGAAATAGCAGACATCAGTGTAAGAGTTTCACAAGTTGGGTATACAGTGACACTTTCCATTTCCATTTATTTTCTTAAACAAATTTTAATCTGGGAGAGAAAGTTCAGGTTTCCTTTAATGAGGACATACTGTTTGAGAACACTGGAAGAAGGTGAGTGAGAAGAATAAGAGAAAGGAATTGAATATACGTTGTCACAGTTCTTTGCTGTTGAGTATTATTTTTCAGGAAACGCAGATCACTCTTCGTGCTCACTCCTCCCCCATTTCCGAAAGAGGAATTGGGTTGAAAATGCTAGGTTTTGGGTTTAATCTTAAGAGTTCTGCTTTGTAAAATATTACTTGCAACCATAAAGGCTGGAAACCTTTTAAAATGTAACCAGAAAAGATTTCGTAATCATACAGCTACCGATCTGAGGATGTAACAAAACCATCACATTTTTATCAAGTGTGCTGTAGTCTAGAACTGCTATTTTTCTTGGCTTCCTGGTAGCCATACATTAGTTACCGTTTTCAAGATGTCTTTTGCTTAAGACATGCAGATAATGTAGGAAACATCACTGCATGTTGTGACTTTCTTTTGTCCTCAGGGTTTTGTGGGTTTTTTGTTTGTTTGTTTGTTTCTTCATTGTTGTATGATTGTTTCAGGTTTAAACCACAGTTTTAAACACTTGTGAGCAGTGCAGGATGGGAGCCACTCCTTATTTTTTATAATACAGTATTAAGTTCATGACCATAGTTCAGCAAGAGGGAATGGAAAAGGAGAACTCCACATCAAAATTCTATATATTGACAATTTGTTGTTACAGCTTCACTAATCTTAACCTTACACAGAATCACTAATCCTTTTAAAATAAGAGTGGAAATGTAACTCTAGTTCAGCTTTCTCTGCCATTTGTCACTTTGCTGTCATGTCAAAGTAATTATTGTATTATTTACATCTGGATCACACTTAATATACTTCTGTTCATCAGGTGCTACAAAAAAAAGTCTTGCCTTTAACTGATTTTTTACGCTTGAAAGTAAAAATATGTAAAATTTGCTGTTAGCGTAAATGGTGAAAAATGGCAACATAGAATATGTTAAAATGCATTATGTACCTTAAGGCCAAAATAGGTACAAGTGGGACTGTAGGTGACTGAGTAGACAGGTTTAAAAAAGCCCAACAATTATTAAACAACAAACCTTCAGCAAACTTATGCTAGTACTTAAAACTGTCACATTTATATTTTGTTGTCTCTAACAAGCATGATTGGTGTTCCGTCACTAGGGAGAGGGAATGGCAAGCTCTGTTAACTGGCTGATGGCACTGGAATTGTGTGAGGTTTCCACTCTGCTACTTGGGAAGCTGATAACCCAAAATAATAGGTACTATATCAAGGCTTACTTGGGGTACTGAGCTCATCTCCACCATGGGCTGTCAACAAGACATCATAGTGTTTATAACTTAAAGTATTCTTCCTCCTTCTGTGAATTTTGGTATTGTCTAAAAACTTGTTTTTCTTGTATTACTTTTCTGAGCCTGATAGGTAACGGTGTTTGATGGAGGTTGAGTCAGTCATGTGTGTGCTGCCTGCAGATAGCTGCTCCAGGCATCTATAATTTGTTTAAAATGATTGGTTGGGGAAATTCTGAAGCAATCTTGAGAGAATGCATGTCGCCTTGGAGGTAATGTACTAGTGCACTAGAGTAGTAGGTTTATTGTTCCTGGGGCTGATGGTAGGTTGAGTATGTCATCAGGCTGCTGACTTGTATGGCTATCTGAGAAGCAAATGCATTGCTCTAAGCCTGGAAAGAAGGTTATCAGCTCAGTAGGAAAGAATTCCACTGCAGAAAGGTGAGCAAAGAGTAGGAGAAGACATTAGTAAATGAGCAACATGTATTGACAGGGACAATGAATGCATTCTGTAAGATGTCATACTAAAATGAAAGGGTTTAAAAATAATTTGCTGTTTGCCCCCTGCAGAATAGCTCCGTTGGAAACTTGAAGTACTTGTAGTTTATCTTAATTTAGAAGCATTACTGGGTTTTCACTGAGGGAGGTAAAAAAAGGTGAAAATGCCCAGCATCTATACCTTAATGTTACCTGTTTTCTTTGTTGTCATTGCTTTGCTTCTGCTGTGAATTAACAGTAAGTCGTTTGATCATAATTCGAAGTGGTGAAAGGGTAGGTGATGATTTATGAAATGTGATTGTCATTTGCTGCTTCTCATCACAGGGGTTGTTAGTTGTGGTGATGGCCATTTCCTTTAATACAAGAGAATTGGCAACAAAATTTGATTAAAAAAGTATTCTTGATATATTGAGAAGAAAGCATCTACTCTTGGGTAGAAGTAGTGAATTTTAGGGCTTATATGGAGATGTTTGAGAATCCCAAAAGGCTTTGGAAAATTGTATTTGGAGTTTCAGTGGTTTTAACTGTGACAGTTATTTACAACAGGTACATGGTTTTGCTCCTGTAGCCCAAGTTAAGGTACATTTACATGTTCATAAACCAAGCCAACATGGAAGTAATTAAGCATTGGATACATTAGCATATCCTTAAACCCAGAGTACTGTAACACATGCAGTACACATTACTGATTGGGAGTGATTGTGTGTGGAAGAAAATTGGCTAAGGCACCTCAGTTTTCAGAGACGCAACGAGCTAATCTGGATACCGTTTTTTTACAGCTAATTAGTCGCTACTGGGATCCTACATGTACCAATACACTCAACTATTGAATAGAAGTATATGAATTAATTTACCAGTATTATGTGCTCAAGAATCTTGACTTGCGATGTGTTGATGACTAGTTGTAAATGTATTTAGGAAAGAAGAATCAGTAGCATAGGAAACTGATTCTTGGTTGTTTAAGTAGTTTACAATTAAATGTTTGAATCAGAGTTATGGAAAGACCACGGGTTTAAGTCTCAATAAAAATAATTGGAAGATGATAATTAGAAAACAACTGAAATCACGGTTTAAATTTTCTGGCTACTTCAGCATGTTCTTTCCTCAGTTAGTGTGTATTAGAAGTGAGTTTTACAGACATGTAAGTAGTCACTAGTTGGCACTCTGTCTGTACATTAGTAGCCAAGACGGTAGATCCAGTTAAGCAGGCCTGTCCCTGTCCCGTTCGCAGTTCAGTGCTGTTTTGCCAGCTCAGTAGTGAGCTGTACTGATGTGTTGGTGCTGTGGTACATGAAGACTCTGAGTAGCTTGTTCAGAAATTGGAAGTGAATTCGTGGTAGGTGAGGAATTTAAATTTACCTGTCCTGGTTCCTTGATCTCTAACAATGATGAATAAATCTATTAGAAACAAAACTTTCAAAGGACGCATGGCAAAATAAAATAGTTTAGCACTATGCTTTGGGTGCTTTATCTCTCATTTTCTTAATCCTCACCTAGCATATTGATATCGGTAAGTACATATGAGTGGACAATTACAAGTGGTTGGGTAGTTTTTTAAGTTTCTTGTTTACCTGAATAACTCCTTCACCCTACTTTGTAGTGGAAACTGTGGTGTAAACTGCAGATTTTGGACTGTAGTCTGTTTGACATTTAGATAAGGGCTAAATTACAGTAAAATCTCTTACTAGCCACAGTCTGCCCTTTGAATGTGTAATCTCACACTGACTGTGAAGCAGGTGATCTAGCCAAGGATGTCCCCTTTGTATGTCCCTGTTCTGAGACAGGTTTGCTCTGAACATTTCCTTTCCTTTCTTCACTGAAAAGATAAAACCATATAGCGATTTGCCTAGGTTTAATCTAGAACTAGTGGAAAGGCTGTAGGATTGAAGGGATGAATGAGTCAAGTAGTACTTTAGTATAGAGAAAGCAACACATTCACTCCAAGTAAATAGCTCTCGATGGAGTTATTAAATGATACTGAAGTTCTTCCATTGCAGTTTTGTCTTTTAGCAGAACTGTTTACTCTAAAAATATAAAAGAGAAGGTGTGTTTTCAGCTAAAATATTTTTTACTTTGTTTTAAATTTAAGCTATATGCCACATTTTGTTTGGGTTGTTAGGCATTCTGGGTTAGTTGATAAAAACAAGTCAATTCCAGTACTTGGAGGTAGATTATGAAAAGTGTTCATGTGGTTTGGATAGATGTCCGGTCACCCTGTTCATGTGGTTGGGTGATCTGCACAAAAGCAGGCTTGTTTTGCAGCACGGCAACGCTGTCTGTGAACAGCATGGGCTTTTTTTTCAGATGAGGTGTTTGAATTCAGATACTCATTTGGCACCGAGATTTCAGTTGTACAGTATACATATGGAGAATTCCATGTTCTGAAATGACAGGTTTTTTCTGTACTTCATTTGAAAGAAGACATCTTCATCTTCACTTATCTTAAAACATTTTAATAACTACGGCTACCAATTGTGTTTCATAGGATTTGATTTTTGTGCTAAGGCCTTATCAAAAGCTTTTAATAAGGTGCTTTCTGCTGAGTTAATGATATGTTTTCGATGGCATTTCTTACACCTATCCTCAATAGACATATTCAGACAGTGTGATTGTAATAATAGTCAAGTTTCAGTCAAACCATACTTAGTGTGACAAATATTGCGTGAGATTCTAATGCAGGTATTCGTGCCCTTGATAAAGAGCTTAATTTGACTCCTAGCAGAGATGGAGAACCACTATTGATTTTTATATCAGACTCTTATTTGTCATGTATGAGGGAAATTGCTTCTTAATTAAAACTAAATAAAACGCTCACTCCAAGGTTTTATGCACAAAGTAATACAGAAAGAACCATGTTGTGTCACAAATGTGCGCTTATACAGGTGTGTAAAGGTTGGGTAAGCAATTATTCTTAACAAACTAAACCACTTCTTAAACAGCTGCTTAAACAGCATCATTTGTTTCTGTCCTTCCTGGAATGTTTTTAGATTTACTGTACCCCAAAGCTCACATCTTGTTTTTCCCTCCCCCAAAGCAAATGTCAAAGAAATATTTGAACAAACTATTATTCATCTTCAAATCCCCTTCAACTGGGACTGTGAGTTCATTCGGCTGCATTTTGGACATAACAGGAAGAAGCATCTTAACTATTCAGAGTTCACTCAGTTTCTTCAGGTCAGTTATTAAATTTGTCCAACGTAGAACTGAAATTCATTTTCACTTCTAATAATACACTAATACTAGTAAATTTTGAGCTTATTCTGGTAGTGATAATAGTTATCTGATACTAATCCTGACAGTTGTGATGAACTGTTGTTTCCTTGTACTGGTTCTGTAAGCAGTGTGTACTCATTGTGCTTTAACTTGAATACTATCCTATAAAAGAATGGGACTAAATATACTGTCTGTGAAATTAACCATTTTACTGATTGTTGTTAAACTGGATCAAGGGTCTATTTTTTCTGTCATAAGAATCTAATAGCAAAACTAACCTCTACCAGAGAAAGATTGCGTCCTTAATACGATCACTTGTTATTAACCGTGTAACGTTCCATATAAACATTTTAGCTTCATTAATATTTCTTTTAGTTTTATAAACATTATCCTAATATTTACCCTTTTTTTCTCTCACTGGCATGAGACTACTGCATGCTATCCCACATATATTGGGAGTTTGGTCTTAAATGCAGTCAGCTTCACAGGAGGCAAATCTGCTTTCCAGAGATGTTGCTGAAGCACCTTCTAGAGATCAGGCTTTGAAAGATCTAACTTCTAGAACTGGACATTGTGCTAAGCCAGAAAGTTACAGTAAAAACATATTATAGATTGAACATTATACTAGAAGGAAGTAAAGGAAGACAGTTATAAAGGATGAAGAGGAAAGTCAGAGAAATGTACATTATAATTCATGAGAAAGGATTTCGCAGAATTGTAGGTAGTTGCACTGAATTCCATAAATTTACATGCAGTGATCACCTCATGATATTACTTACAGATTTCTGTCCACTAGACCTGAAGTAAAATAGATTATGCACTTCCAGAGCTGGCCTTTGGTACAAAATAGTTTTGGACATACTGTCTTAAAAGTGGGGAGCGATAGATGTGCTGTGATATAATCTATAATTATTGTCCAGGATAAAAATAGGTCCAGAGTCGGTTCTAGAAATACATGCCTAACCAGATAGGATCTGATGTCTGTATTGTGAATTGAGATACTGGAGTTTGGCACAGTCTTTCAAGGCTGTGGTATGACTTGATGTTACGTCCAAGGAATAAACTGTGTCCTGTGTTTGATGCTACATATTTAAAATGATTCCAGGCACAAACCTGGGACACTAGTGCAGAAAAAAATCGCATTGCTAGGGAGAAGAATCTTTTTGTTGGGAGCCCAGAGCAAAGTGATAAATACCTGTTCTGTTTTTATGTTTATTGTCTCAAGAAACTGTCATGTAAGGTACAGTAACCTCCTACTGTCGTCGTATAATGAAAACCTTTGTAGGGAAGAGTAGTATGGACTGCAGTAACTTCAATATGTACACAAGTTGGATATTGCTGGATCTTTTTGGATCAGCTTGTTTTTCTTCTTTGGACTAACAGCATCTTGTGGGGCTTGGGACTTGAACCTGAGCAGGCTTGTGGCACCCTAATCTAGAAAACCTTGATCTGGAGGTTACGAGACTTGAGAAATGACTGTCAAGGTGATATAAGCTAGATAGTTTGCCCTCCACTTATTGTCTGTCAGAACATGGTTATTATTTTAGATGCTTCTGGAGGTCTGAATGACACCTGAATGTGCTTTATTGTTTGCTTGAATAGAAGGAAACAACTTTTTCTGGACATAAAATTTACAACCATCATCGTTACCTTGAGGTTAGGTTACTGCAGTGTGCTTTAAATGAAGGTTTTTACAGATTGTATAGGAGTTTAAAATTACCTGAAATGAGTGACCATTTCTGACATGACGGGAGGTAACTGTTGGGGGCAATCTAAATCTGTATTACATAATTTTTACTGTCCTGTTTATTTTCAAGTACTTCTCAATGAGTTAGTTTATAATAACCCAGTCGTACTTCATCTTGAATGTCTAAGAGATCACTTGGAGTCTATAAGATCAATATCAGTAGTTTCTCTAGCAGTTAAGTATTTAATAAAGGAATAGATAGCAGACAGGACCTGGGTACGTGAAGTTTATTTCTCAAATCATTTAGTGAACGTGCATATTTCCTTACAGTTGAATTGAGGCTTTCTTTAAGAGAGGCGTGAATATGTGGATAGAATCAGTATGCAGACTTTTTGTTTCAGTTGAGCTTGCCTTTAAGTTAAACTGCGGTTGTGCTATGGTCTGGGCACACAAAACTTATTCAGGTGTGCTGTAAGAACGTGAAATGAGTGAGAGTTTTGTGAAGAGCGAGTTACGGAATTTGCTTCTAATCGGCTATTTCTGAATATTCATTATAGGAGCTGCAGTCAGAACATGCAAGACAAGCCTTTGCATTGAAGGACAAAAATAAAAGTGGTATGATAACTGGGCTGGACTTCAGTGACATCATGGTTACCCTTCGCTCACACATGCTAACTCCATTTGTGGAAGAAAATTTAGTTTCAGTAAGTGTGAAGAAAAGTGCCTTGAGTTCAGGGTTTAATAGCTGTCAAGTTTTAACATGTTAGTGCTTCTCTCCCACATTGTCTTCTTCTACCTGTTTATCACTGCCTTGGTGCTAGAGATTGTCACCTTCATAATCCAGCGGGTAGGGTGAAACATGGCAGCATTCCTTGGCTGCAGTGTTGGGCAAGTTTGGCAGCCTGGTTCACGTGCTTAAAGTGCCACTGGAAACAGTTTGAGTTGGTCTGCTGCCTACTAAAGCGGGCAAACTGTACTTGCCACAGAAAGAACATTCATTTAGGGCAAAAGCATCTAATTTTTATATTTGAATATATGATAGATCTTAAAAGGTGGAGACTACTTACAGGTTTTTTCCTTTTAAGTACTCTTACATTCTTTAGTTTTTCAGATCAGAATTTGGAAAATCAGTATGTAGATTCCAGAGGTAGAATGGTTATAGCTGTGATAGTCTGGCAAGAACTGTAGGTAAAACAATGACATAAAAGTTATTAAGTAAAAGTATACAGGACAAAAATTATATAAGAATGAAAATTATACAAAATATGAAGTAATAAGTTTTATCTTACTAATTTACCTATAAATCTTGCCTTGCCTAACTAATAAGGCATACCATCTTCTGTAAAAGTTATAGTATTTACTAACTTCAGTCTTTGAAATTAATGGTCACGGCTGTATGTGATGCAAGAACTCAGTGCTTTTATTCTATTAGAAATAGAGGGTATTAGAAAAATAGTGACACATTTAGTGTGCGTATCAGAGAAATTGAATAATAAACTACGTATATGATTATATCCTAGTTTCCTAATGCTCAGTTTTTATAAAAAATAATATTCTGTCTAATAATTCTCCTCTCCTGTTTCTATTAAAAATCTTAAAATTACAGGAATAGAAAAATATCTTTAGTTCTTTCCTTATTTGCCCAAATGGATGTTTCTGTGATTTGTAATAAGATGTTGTGAAAGGGCTTAAGGCACTTAACTACATTCATTTAATTTTTAAAGGTAGCTGGTGGAACTGTTTCACATCAGGTCAGCTTCTCCTTTTTCAATGCATTTAATGCTCTTTTGAATAACATGGATCTTGTTAGGAAGATATACAGTAATATAGCAGGTACAAGAAAAGATGTTGAAGTCACAAAAGGTAAAGTATTATTTCCTACATTTTATTAATTTTTTAGTTCTGTACAAAAATTACAGTTTTTGTAATCTGGTGTTGCCTGTGGGTTAAGGCAAATAAGAAGCTGCAATAGTATGCAAGGTTAGGGCCCCTCTGAAAGTGTTTAAAGGGTGATTTTCATCCTCACAGGTTAATAATGATCTTCAGCTAGCTCGTTAAGGAGAAGATGGATTCTGGCAGGAGCCATGTTGACATTATTAATTTGAATAGATAATTGCAAGTTGGTATATTATTGAGGATTTTGCCACTCCTTCAAAGGGATGCATGGTTGCTTAGAGATAGAAAGTTTCTAAGGAATGTGACAGAGTGGGTTAAGTTTGGAAATCCATCATCACTAATCTCCATGTTCTTTTAGCTTTAGTTACTTTATCCATGATTAAATCTTTTTTAGAAAAATGGTAATAATTTATAACTTCTTAGTGTTTACTTGCCTGAGTAGTTTTACATATTGTTTATGTCAGGGCATAGCTAATCCTTGTGCATGTGAAAGGTTGCCATATTTCAGTCTTGCTGCAGGCATGAGTGGATTGCTTTTGTAGCCATTTTATGACAGATTTTGTCACCGATTGTATTACCTGCATGGATGGGACCAGCTAAGCCTGTGTGTGGTAAAGAGCATGCCAAGTTCCTTTTTTGTTCTTCCTTGTTTGGCTGATGTTCGTATGCTTTGCATGTTTGTCTCTGAAGGAAAGCATAAAATATGTGTCCTCATCCTCCAAGTGGGGCTAACAATTTGCCTACCAGTGTTTTCTGCGGGAGATGCGGAAATACATCTTGCTTGGATTTGTGTTGTGAAAAAAAGCTACTGTGTTTGCACTGCTCAGACTTGTTTACTGTAACTGGCCGATTATGTCATGAACATGTCATGTAATTTGTCGAGATGAATGCCTAAGCTTGGGTTTATTCAGAGCTAGCGGAGAAAGAAATCTGGACATGATGACAGTAGTTGAGTCAGATGCCCTTAAAGCTGCTAATAATGGACCATTATTCTGTTCTGTTTTGCAGAACTTCAGAAACACAAATCACAAATTGTGGGTGTGGTTTTATTAAGCTTGCTAATAGGAAGATATTTGTTGACTTTGATGAATTCTTAACCGTAAATAGGAGTTGTGGAGTCAGACTTGCTCTGTGTTGCAAAAGCCCGTTTCAGGATAGAAACTATCCTAAAGATGTTTTCCCTTTGCATTATGGATTTTACTTCTTGGTGATAGATTTCATTTTTATGATATTGAAGTTACTTGTGAGCATTGGAAGAGGAAATTTGACAAATAACACAATTGCTTTATTTCTCTTACCCTTTTAAATACAGAGGAATTTACCCACTCTGCAATCCGATTTGGACAAGTGACACCACTGGAAATAGATATTCTCTACCAACTTGCAGATCTATACAGTGTTACTGGGTAACCTAAAAATTAATGTTGTCTGTGTACAATCATTATTTTGCGGTTTTCTGTGTGGAAACTACTCATTTTCATCTTAATTTTAAAAAGTTGTATGTTCCACTGTATTTCATTACAGTAATTTATTCAGTGTAAGCTGACTTTGGTGTATGCCTGGGTTTTCTAAGTGAATTGTGTGCATCAAGCACAATTGTCATATTATAGGTATACATATAAAATAGCGAAATACAGTAGTCCCAAAAGGCTACAATGCACTGATATTATTAAATGTAGTTGTTGATGATGTTCTGCATGGGTCTTAAACACATGTGAAAACTTAGGTAGAAATACCTAGAAGTAGTAGGTGTTTTATATCCTTCCTTACTAGTAATCAAGAGGTTGCTTGTGAATAATCCAAGCTCCCTTTAGCTCCACTTGTGAGCTGTAAGAAGGGAATGCCCTTCTAGCTCCAAGGGTTCTTTACTGCCGTGTATTAGGTTTCACGGACTTGCATTCAAATACGACAGGGTTTTTCTTAAAACTTAGGATGTATTCTGTGGGGTGTGGCCAGGAATACTGTATTGAATATGTTTGGTGTTTCATCTAACAGTAATTTGCTTTTCTCCGCCTTGCGTAAAGGCGCTTAACTTTGGCAGATATTGAGAGGATAGCACCGCTGGCTGAAGGTGCATTACCTTACAACTTGGCAGAACTGCAGAGGCAGGTAGGTAGAAGTGATACATAAAATAAAATTGTTGAAGTTGAGTGCCTGTGTACAGGTACTTGCATATGAAAAATAAAAATAATAAACTTTAAACAGATTCCTAACAAGTGAAACATGCCAGGTGTGTTGCTGTAAGAACAGAAATGGGACCGACTCCTGAGTATGTGTCTAAGCAAGTACTGGATTTCGTAGTGAAGGATGGCCTGTTTAGGTATGAGCATGTATAGGTACTTGGGGTTCCTTACTGTGAATACATTTGTTCACTCCTGAAGAGGCCTTTCACTTCACTAAGTAGTCTAGCTATAAAATTATTTTTAGATAGGAAGAAAAATGAGGACTAAATGCAGAATTTATAAATGTGTTCTTTTTTGGATTAAATGATTGGCTTAACCATTTATCTAAAATGATCATTGGATTTGAGTGTACTTGTTGGCTAACTCACCTAGACAGTAGAAGGGCAATTGAAATTTATTGGGTTTGCTGAAAAGCGTAGAATTAGAAGATGAAAAATACTGGAGTAGAATGTCAGCCCTCTGTTTCATCAGTCCTTCACATTCACATTTGCTGACTTTGCTTTCATCATCGTTTCCTCATTAAACATGTACATGTATAGTACAGCATAGGAGTCCCAGACGGTACGGTGGGATTTTGAAAATAAACGGTTTCTTACTTCGATGCCTCTTTTTGCAGCTGTGAAAACTGAACATTTAGAACCGAACATTATGTGGTTGTTTAGTATATGTTTAGGCTTTCCACCATAGTTAGTGAGTTCCATACTGCTTGCTTTCAGAAGTATAGCTTGCAAGTTTGTGTTAAAAATAAGTTTAGGTTTTGGGGACTTACCTTCATTCTAGTTCTGGTTCAACATATAATCTGAGAGGTTTTCTTTTGAAAGCAGATCTGCCTAAAGCTAGTTACGTTGTGAATTAAATTTTACCTTAACTTTCACCTAAGGTTGAACCTGAAGTACTGCTGATATTGAAGATCGCAACATAATGGGACATCTGCTGTGCTGCTAATAGCAATCCTCCATTCTGTTCCGGATACTTACTAGGGAAATCCTTTTTCTGGACCATTTTGTAGGTGACTGCCCTGATGAGAGTAGTTCAGGGACAATTAACTCAACTGTTAATAATGTAAAGATAATAATGCACTGAGGAAAATCCTTGAAATGGGTACGCAACAGATTCAGAAAGGAAGATACACATACATGGTGAATGACACGGTTGCATAATCATAAAATACATAGGCCAGTTGCACATTCGTGTTTATTATGCAAAACAAAAAAACAGGATCTGATCTTAAACATTTCTGATGGGCAATCTTTTATGTATTTTCACTGTTAGATCTTAATGAGGAATTGCAATTCCACAGAGAGCTGTGTGTTCTGTAAGCTCTAAGCTTTACAAGAAAACACAATAGTGTTCATCTAACCGGTGCATTTTGCTCCAAGGATGTCTCCACATCCCCATTCCCCCTGTAATATACAAAGGGAAATAGGATGTCTGATTCTTAAGATCTTGCATGAGCATATCCCATAGTTCTGATTAAATAAATCTTTGTGTACTCAGTAGATGAATATAATTTTTTGTCCTGAAGGTTCCCATTTTTTTACAATGTCTAAACAACTCCAGTTCTTTCTCGGTCTGTGTGAAGAGTTTATGGTGTGCCTATCAGGATATCCAAGGGCTCTGATTCCCAAGTGAACATATCCTGGATTGGGCTGGATTCTGCTCCCAGTTGCCTACACCTCTCTTGACGCGCAGGCAGCTGAGCTTCTTAGGAGTCAGCTGTTGAACGGCCACATCTCAGAGTTCAGCATTTATGGCAGTCTGGCGCTGGTGATAGCTGTGTTAAAATGCTGCTCCTGGAATGCAGTGGTTC